CTGCCCATTTAATCAGCAACTTCTTCAAAAATAGTTCCATCTTATTTCTTCTTTATAATTCCTATCTTGCTTTTAACCTCATGCCCCTCACCTATTAATCCTTCCATTCATACATACATGTATTCATTCACTCATCTCTTCTTATCCATTCATTGAAAACACCTACTATGCAGTGAACAATAATTGGGGAACAATAGTGAGCAAAAAACAGATACAATCTCTGGCTTTTAGAAACTCTCAGCATTAAGGGGAAGGGAAACATTAAGCATATAATCATTTCAAAACTAATATAAAAGAGCACAAGTACAACAAAGAAGTATGTGGCCCTGAGAGCCTGTAACAAGGAGATTTGTCCTAGTTAGGGAGGTCACTGAAGGCATCCCTGAGGAAGGGATAGCTGAGCTGAGCTCTCAAGACTTATCAGGCAAAGAAAATAGGACGTGCAAAGGCCCTATGGCAGCTGCGGGATGATAAATGTGAGGTATGGGAAGCTGAGGGAGTGAAGGGAGAAAACAGTGCAAACAAAGACTAGTGGGCAGTGGGGCCACAGAGGTCATTTCAGAGAGTTTTGTCTTTATCCTAAGAACAATGAGGACTCACTGAAGGTATTTAAACCAGGGCTGAAGTAATTAGAGAACAGTCTTGAGATCAACACAACCACAGTATTGAAAGAGGTTGGGCTCCTTAGAAAGTGAGAGATGGTAGAAACTTTAATAGAGTTGGGGTGGAAATGAAGTGAACAGATTGGAGAGCTGTTTAGGGAGTAAAGTGGATAAGACTCGGTTATCTAAGAACACTTTGTGGATGGATGACCCACTTCTTCCAAATAAAACAACTGGCAAGGTCAACCACTGAGGAGAAGGAGGACAAAGAGAAGGTTAGACCAAACAATATTCCATTGTTCAGGAATATTTTCCTTTAACTCACAGGGTTCTAATTTAAATGAGATTTACTTTTTATCAACACTCCTTTGTTTTTACTGTACCTGCTTTATACAGGTATGCACCAATGTACAGAATTATTAAATACTTTAATAATAATTTACAATAAAACTTTTGCACCTGTGTAAGTAACTCTTTTTTTTGAGACAGAGTCTCACTATGTCGCCCTCAATAGAGTGCTGTGCTGTCACAGCTCACAGCAACCTCAAACTCTTGGGCTTAAGCGAGTTTCTTGCCTCAGCCTCCCAAGTAGCTGGAACTATAGGGGCCCACCACAATGTCCGGCTATGTTTTTTGTTGTTATTATAGTTGTCGTTGATTGGCAGGCCTGGGCTGGGTTCGAACTCACCAGCCCCAGTGTATGTGGCTGGGGCCCTAGCCGCTGAGCTACAGGCACCGCCCACTGTGTGAGTAGCTTGATGAGTAAAAGTTGAGCCATGATGAACTTTTGGTTGCAAAAATGTATAAAATGTAAAAGAGCAAAAAAATTAATCTTCATCTACAGTTTTTATGTTTGTAAAGTTTGTTTGTTAAATCAATAAAATGATCTGAAAAGTTCATCCCTCATTAGATATAATTAGTAATTTACCTCATTGGTTTTCTGATGACCATTTATCATAAACTAGAGAATCTTCAGTATGAACAGGGAAATAAAAATCTTGACATCTTGCCTCGTATATAAACTAAATATTTGATTTATAAGACACAAATGAACAAACTTCTATGGCCTGTCAGCTTTCTCAGTTTCTAATTTATTCAACCTCTGCTCAATATTGATCCTGACAACAAGAGTGGCCCAAAGATAAATTTATTCATTCCACAGTTTAGTCAGGAACAAGCCAAAAATTATAGATTTTCCCAGGCAGATGATGACAGGCAGTCAGGAGGATGACAAATGGCTGTCTTTAGACCTAGTAAGGACAGTTGGGCCAGACGCTTCCATTAAAGATTGGAGCATGCTGGTCAAATACAGGTTCATCAGTGGTCATCATTAATCGTAGAAAGAGCATTGCCATGATGCAGACGCCTACACAGGAGCTTAAGCACCAGTCCTGCAGGGCAAATAGAATTTGCTCCTCAGGACTTAGCAGCACTCCTCTAAGTGATAGCATGACATGATCATTTATCAAACGGAGACTGTACAGAAAAGTGTCTGCTTCCTTTAGTAACTTATTGAAGACTGGGAAAGTGAAAGCGTTTTATTAAAGACAGGAAGGCAATGAACAACCAGAGCGTATCCAAAGGGTAATCGTATTTCAGCACAGGATTAGTTTAGTCTTAAATAAACATACACTGGAGGCAGTATGTCGAGGGTCATTTATCAAGTGAGGAACAATTAACAAAACTCTAAGCATTCTTTTTATCTATAACAATTTACAGTTCTTTTATCGCTATTATTGCTTAACTTTTGGATGATAAGCATCATATTCAACACTGTACAAAACCATAAGGTATGATCACTTCCTTGGAGGTTTTTAGAATAAAAGAAATACAGTGTAACTCTCACATAAAATAATTACGGCTGTATTAAATGCTACTGAACAAATGCTGTGGAAGGGCATATTCCAGACCCCAGACTGATAATTGAAGTTATATTTTGTGAAGAGTGCTTTCTTATGAGAAGTTGACTACTTATTACTCAAGAGGTCAAGAAATTTCTTCTTCCTTAAAGTATTTTTGATCTCTACTGACAAAAATTAAGACAAGGGAAATTAGTGGAGAGGGCCCACAGGGCAAGAAAACTAATGCATTTATAACTCACCTGCTTTATTCCAGGCACGTTACTTATTTATCTATTCATTTATTTGGAGATAGGATCTTTCCATCTGGGCTAGAGTGTAGTGGTGCCATCATAGCTCCCTGTAACCTCAAACTCCTAGGCTCAAGTTATCCTCCTGCCTCAGTCTCTTGAGTAGCCAATACTCCATATACCCAGCTAATTTTTCTATTTTTTGTAGAGATAGGATCTTGTATTTTTGTTTGTTTGTTTGTTTTTTTAGACAGTCTCACTTTGTCCCCCTCAGTAGAGTGCGACTGT